GAAAATGAACAATAAACATGAAATTAATCTGTGTTTTATTTCTAATTCAAACATAATAAGTTAACGTACGTGTAAAAACAACTTATACTACCAATTAGGTACTAAGTCGGTAGGGCTGGTTTCATAGTCACGCGTTTGAACAGTGCCATCCAGACGCACACGCTTGCAAATGTACTAGATAGTAGTCTATAATATTCACGCTGTTCATGCGCGCGCTGTTGAAACTTGGTTGAAACCGTGGTTGATACGCTCGCTGTTCGACGGCATGATTATGAATATCGACATCCCTGCACAGTTTTTAGGCATTCTTATTTCCAATTTAGAAAATGAACAATAAACATGAAATTAATCTGTGTTTTATTTCTAATTCAAACATAATAAGTTAACGTACGTGTAAAAACAACTTATACTACCAATTAGGTACTAAGTCGGTAGGGCTGGTTTCATAGTCACGCGTTTGAACAGTGCCATCCAGACGCACACGCTTGCAAATGTACTAGATAGTAGTCTATAATATTCACGCTGTTCATGCGCGCGCTGTTGAAACTTGGTTGAAACCGTGGTTGATACGCTCGCTGTTCGACGGCATGTCTAGCGGCGTGACTGACAGCCTCAATCATTATACATTTAGGTACTAGGTATCTTAGCGTACCGTATATGCTAATGACAACATCTAAATGCTAACAGCCATAATATAGGTACATATATTTTTATTTTTACATTAATACACACAAACATTATCTCTCATTTCAAAACCAATGCTCAGAAAGCAGGTTTGTTAACTACATTCTATGCATTTATACGTTGCACTTACATACACTTAGGCTTTAGAACAAAAATTGCATACCTAATTAGGTATGTAGATAGGTACTAGAAATAGCTAAATATTTTAGGACATCGTTTTTCAGTTTGTTAAAATTCACTCGGATCTATGAAAAACCGTAATATTCATGGTTCGATTATAACCTCAAAATCTGATACTTTTTTTGAAATATATCTATTATGCAGCTAGTCCGCTATAAAAATAAGATCAAATAGGAATTTACTAATGATCAACAATAAAATACATAATTTTCCGATGCTCTTGGTTCCAGGGCGAACAATGTATGGGCGCAGAGCAATGTCCTTTGGTCATGTTGAACGCCATCCAATTGCGTTCGAGCTGTCGCGTCACCCGATAGTATGTAGGTGAAAAAACGCCGGCAGGTGGGGCGGCGGTGTGCGACTTGTGTGGCTCGACGCGTGGGCGAAGGAGAGGGGTTGCCCACTGGCCGCGATGCGAGAAACCCGCGTAGCTCGTTTATCGCGGCCGAAGTTCAAGCGACCGTTGTAGGGTCCAGATAGTTAGATTAAGTGCGTGTTACTTCCTTACGTGGATATGTGAATTTTGCAATATTTAACTTGTTCGGGGATGCGGAATTGTGCATGCGCGCGTCGAGTAGATATACGGTCTAGGATTCGAACCGCGCAATCCTTGTTCGAGAGCTTATCCCGGTTGATTGTCAGGAAATTATTATAATTGTGCCGTCGCGTTAAGTGCCCTTTTTTGTGTGTTGGTTGGCTTGTTAGTTTACGTGTAAACGTGGCGTATTTTGAATCTTTTCGCGACATGGTTTTTAATGTCGAATGAAGGAACTTAGTTGTGTTTAACTGAGTAGTATGACTCATTAAGAGATCGGTTTAATTCCCTGTTTATAATTATGTGATAAGTGAATCCGGGACATTGAATGTCGAATTTTGAACTACTGTCCTTACTGTGTCGGGTATCACGTGTTCAATTCTACGATGAATGTGGAATTAGGCGAGTTTAAGTTAGTTAAATGTACAATGAAGCTAATAGACTGAAATAGTGACAATGAAGAAAGAAACTGACCGTGGGTGACGCTGCTGGAGATTACCAAAATTTGGAGCAGCGCCGGAGTCCTGGTAGCTGCCGACCTCAACGGTCCAGTCAGGTCAATCACATCCACACCACAAAAACCATCACCATACACGCAACACATACACACCTCCTGCCTGACCGAACCTTGAGACAGTCGTCGCCTCAGATACAGGTAAGTCTTAATCCTCTCTATTTGACTAGCCTCCCCATTAAATTGTAGTAGGATAAAACATTTTCCATATAGCCACTCGGGCTCGAAATTGCGGCTGCTCGTTGAATCTTACGCTCATGGGCCCCGGGAGATTTGACATTTGCAGGGGCAGCTGTAGGCCGTAACATCTTTGGTAGCAGGGAGCGTTGGTTGGATTGGTTTAATTTCTGTCTACAATCACGCCCGGCCTAATACGTAATAATAAAATTATTTTCCTGTGTTGCTTGCTTTTTTTTGTTTGTTAGCGGGTAGATGGGAAAGCCGCGCCCGCAGGTTGAGCAAGTGGGAGTTTTGTTAAGGCTAGGTACTTACCGTAGTTAGTTAAGGCTAGGTACTTTGACTAGGTAGATAAGGTCGGATAATCGGATAATTTTGTTGGTCGACTGTGGTGTGTACCTTTCTTTGTATTTAACTTGATTTGATCGTACTAGTGTTTGTTACTTGTTAATTTTTTTTTTTGTATTTTTTATTTGTTTATTTGTAATTTGTATTTGAGCCACGCAGTAATTTGTATTTAGAAAGTGATGTCGTCGCGCTGCCAGGGCTGTCACCATGCCGTTTTGTGTCTGGGTGCGAACGGCGTTTCCTCTCTGGGCTCTCCCGAGCCCTCCACTCCCACGGGTGGGGGCGCTCAGCCACGCCCCCTGTCGGGGGGTTGTTCCCCCAGGTGCGGGGGGTCGTCACCCCCTCCCTCGGTGTGTTGAAAGGGACTTCACTGCCACTCAGCGGTCAGCTAGACCCTTCTCACCCTCGTCAGCTGAGTGGCCGTGAAGTCCCTCTCAACACATCGAGGGTGGGGGTGACGACCCCCCGCACCTGGGGGAAGACAATTTCATTTACCTGTTCTAGACATTCCTGATTTACCCATATTTCACACTTCGTTCTTTCTTCGTCCCTTTCAAATACCAGAACCTTAGTTTTGTCTATGTTTTGATGTTAAAAAGGAATATTAAATATTGCTAGTGGAGCAGTCGAAATTATTATCTGATTCTATCAGCAGTACTTTATTCTCTGATCGTCACTTGGAAAGAAAATTAATGGAGACTTTTAACCATCGTCATCATCATCATCATCATCATTATCATTACAGCCCATCACAAATGCACTTTTTTTATAGGATAGGGTGACAAACGGGCACACAGTCCACCTGATGGTAAGTAGTTGCTGTAACCCGTAGATGCACAGACCGCGGCCCGCCGGTCGAATACTGGTGGCCCGCCGACAGCAAAAATAATACTCTCGTACATTCGAAAAATATTGAATTATATTCCAGAATAAAACCAAAAAAAATATGTTCGGAAAGTAATTTGAATCTCGCACGCACGCTCTTAAGCGCCCTTATCGGTGCGCCGTGCATGCGTCGGTAACAGCGGTCGGTAATGTTCGTGCTGATCTCGGTTAAATTCGTTTTCTTGAGGAACTCGGAGGCGACGATGGCAGCGCGGTGGCGGCTTATCCACGGGTTATATTGTTAGAGCAAGCGAGATAGCAATAGTCCCGAATTCCCGATTGCTCGCGTAGGTAGATACACGAAGCTTCCAGAGTCAGTTTCGTGATTTCTCCAGACAGTTTTCGACTCTATACGCGCAGTATAAAAGCCACGCTAACCGCAGCGACCGACAGTTCAGTTTTAATTTGAGTGAAGTGTCAATAGTTCTAGTGTAGATTTTAACTCGACTAGCCGGTGTTATATATTTTGATCCACTTTCAACGTATGATTGTGTTGTGAAATCGTAAGTAAAACTCTGTTATTATTAAGTGTTTCCCTACCTATTTAATCAATTATTTTTGGTAATTTAAAAAAGGTAATTTAAGTAGGTACTGTAATTGTTTTTATGTGCTGTGTTAATTCTAGCGAGGATTAGAACGCAACATGGACAAGCCAGGACCTAGTAAAAAACGTAAGGTTAAAGATGAAAATCGGCAGTTTCAAGAAATTTGGACTGAGAAATACTTTTTTGTATGGTCAAATAACAAAGTCGTTTGTTTAATTTGCAAGAATTCTGTTGCGATTGCAAAGGAATATAAAGTAAAAAGGCACTATGAAACGCAGCATCCTACTTTTACCAAGTTTACAGGCGAATTAAGAAAGCAAAAAATTTTGTCTTTAAAACGGGAGTTTATTGGTCAGCAAGCTATGTTTACAAAACCCATTCAAGATTCAGAAACAGCTATAGAAGTTATTTATGAAATTTCTCAAATGATAGCAAAGCGAAGTCGCCCCTTCAATGATGGGGATTTTGTAAAAGAATGCATAGAAATTGCTATATTTAAATTGTAATATTGCGGAACAATTAAATGAAAAAACTAAGATCATTGAATTTTTTTCATTAGCACTCGACGAATCCACTGATATTAGTTCCAGAACTTAACTTCTGATATTCGTACGAGGTGTTACTCAAGATTTTGAAGTCTTAGAAGAGTTATTAGGAATGTGTTCATTGAAAGGTCAAACCAGAGGAGTTGATATACTCAATTTACTTTTGGATGAGTGTTCAAAAACTGATTTGGACTTATCAAAATTATCGGGAGTTGCGACTGACGGTGCTCCTTCGATGATTGGTGTCAATTCTGGGCTAGTTACTTTGCTGAAAAAGCATCTGCAAGAAAAAACATAAACGCTAAAGATCTCATGCAGTTTCACTGCATTATACACCAAGAGGCCCTCTGTTCTAAAAAAAATTGAATTTCAAAATGTCATGAAAGTGGTAGTTTCGACTGTAGATTTCGTAAAATCACGAGGACTCAATCACAGGCAATTCAAACAATTCCTTGATGACATCGAAAGCGAATATGGAGATTTACTGTATTATACAGAAGTAAGGTGGCTAAGTCGTGGATTGACACTGGAACGATTTCTAAATTTAATAGAAGATATTGGAATATTTCTGGCGGAAAAGCAAAGGGATGTTCTTAAAAATCCTTAAAAATCCTGATTGGTTGTGTGATTTGGCTTTTTTGGTTGATATTACAAATCATTTGAATGTCTTGAACACACTGTTTCAAGGCAAAAATCAACTGATATCCCAGCTCTACGCTCTTGTATCGTCCTTTCAATGCAAGTTGACACTTTTCAGATCGCAATTGAATTCTGGAAATTACAATCATTTTCCGAATTATAAGAAAATGGCTCAAAAATTCAACAAAACTGCGATTAATTTCAGTTATGTAGAAAAGCTAGATATTTTGATTCAATCTTTTCAAGACAGATTTTCGGAGTTTAAAAAAATGAAACCTCTGTTGGACATATTCAGCAATCCTTTCACGATTTCAGTTGAAAATGCGCCAGAGTCAATGCAGTTAGAAATTATCGACATTCAAAACGACCAAGATTTACGCAACAAATTCAACGAAGGAGACTTGCTGAACTTTTACCGCCGCATTGATAAAAATACGTACATAGAGTTGCGCATAAACGCTCTGAAATGTGCCAGCTTATTTGGTTCTACCTATATATGTGAACAAACCTTTTCAATACTAAATAATAATAAAACAAAAAATCGAAACCGCCTTGCAAATGAAAGTTTGGAAGCAGTTTTACGTGTTGCTACAAGTAAATTTGAGCCAAATATAAAAAAGATTGTAAGCACTATGCAGTGCCACGCTTCAAATTAAGAAATTCTTTTTCAATTTTAATACATTATTATCAATTTTTTATTGCCTTTAATTACCTATACTTCTGACGGCCCGCCATCAGTTCATAATTTGACCGAGTGGCCCCTAGTCTTAATAAGTCTGTGCATCACTGCTGTAACCCATAGACATCTACATTTATCCCCAATAAAGAATCAAAATGCATTTGCGTCGTCACCCGTGAGGACTAAGATGGAATGCCTCTTTTCCAGTAAAATGGGTCTCCGGTTCTCTACACTCACAATACAAAACACAGCAGTGTCAAGCTACTATTTTGCGCTGGTATTCTGTGAGCCACTGTCCACTACTGAACATAGGTCACAAAGCACGATCTCGAGCCATCTGCATCCATTGACTTCCTACATGTCTTACCAGGTCGTCACTCTATCTAATGGGGGGATACTCTACACTTCACCTGCCGGTACGAGGCTGCCACTCGAAAACCTTTCTTCCCCATCTTTTAACCATAACATCAAGATAATCTTTACTGAAAAAAAGTTTCTTGCTCCATTTACTACTCATATTCTAACGTTCAATGTTTCGTTTAAATCAATAGCAATGAAAGAAACAATTCGTTCAGTAGCACATCAACTCCGAGAAGAAATTCTTAACTCCTCTAAAACAAAATTGCCTGATGATTGTACATCTTACGATTTCATTAAAGGAGAGTGAGATTATTTACCGGAACCTTTGAAATACTTCTTAGAAACTTTTATTTACGGTAATATTTCACATTTATCAAAGAAGAATCGTGAAAATAGGAAAAGTAAAAACGAATTTGTTGTTTTTTCACTTAGACAACATCTGATCTACGCTTCGAATGATTTCTCACGAATTCCGGTACATTTAACGTTGGAACAAACGATAAATGGTGATGCAGCTCGTTGTCTCACTAAAATCGTTAATCTGACAAACTTCTTTGCTGCTAGACAACGTTGGGCTATAAATTATGGAGCCCGAACGCGAATAATATGCAGTGTTCCAGGACTTCATAAAAGTCACCAAGATCTTCACCCAGATCGATTAAAAAAACATTGCAAACAAATTGATGCATTTTCGAACAATATCCAACAGACTAACAACCCATTTTCTCCTTCAATAGATCATAATCTACTATATAATATTTCAACTGGACAGGCTACCACTCCAGAAATAGCAAACAGTTTGTTGAATGCAGTATCAGGCGGAACTTTCCTAAAATATCCTCAGAATTCATATTACATTCATTATAGAATGTAATATGAAGTCTGAGGAATTTCACCAACCACTGAAAAAAAATCCTATTTAGGCATTCGCAAGCTTGAAGAAAAAAGTTATGAAAATTGGCCAGAAAGTACACGAAGTTAAACTACAGCGGGATTTATTTGGGTGGTTATTGGCTTTGTAATTAGACACAAACTTGGATCTTGAGAAAGTATATTCCACTCTCGCTGTGCCATATAGATAGTTCTCCCAAGAACATTTCTCTTCTCTTCTTTTTTTCTCTTCTTTTTTAAAAACGTTACCCCCACACTAGGATTTTTTCCTGTGTCGTGGAGGCAGTTTACAAACATAAATTGCACAAGGACAAACATCCAGACCCGGAACAATTATTTGTAGGCCATACAAATACTTGTTCCGTGCGGGATTCGAACCCGCGGCCCCCAGCGCAACAACTGATTGCTAAGCCACTGCGCCACGGAGCCGTTTGTTAAGTTGGTACTTTGATTAATGAGTTAGAAAAAAAAGTTGAATCAACCACCATCCCATGTAGATTTTGTGATTAGACGGCTTCTTCTTCTTAAATACATTTAAAGAGTCGCGTAGTATTAGAAAAGATACTGCTATGCCTTGTGAGTAATTCAACGAATCCAGCAATCATTTTATTTGATCGCTAATTTACGCCACCAATCAAAGGCATGGAGCACCCTCTTCGAGGTAGTGTAGATGATAAGGACATCGACATTTCTGGTCCCAAACAACCAGGACAGCAGATTTTGCGAAATAATTGAAAAATATCACATTTCATGAAGCCTTTGTCAAGTTCTTAATTGATCATTGGGCTGTTAAGGAAATAGCTACATTATTGGTAATAAAACAGTATATCTTAATCATTATATGTGTTATATATATTCAGTTACCGATAACAAAGTCACCCGAACGATCGACCTTCATGGTCGATCGTTTGAATATCTCCCCTTTGAATATCTGACGCGCTGGAATTAATTTTATTTTTTTATTTTCTTACGGATGGCGGCCCCCACTACGCAAGTAGGCAGATAAATATATCTTCGATATCAGAAACACGTTGGGGCATTTTAATTATAATATCTGACACGCTTAAGTATGTTCCGTGTATTATTTTTTACATTTTTAAAAATCTATAGACACTTCCCCCACAACTGGACGGGAAAAAATTATATAACTATTTTTCCTATCAACTAATCTACAAAATCTAATAGGTGCCCACGACGCTCAAGTAAATCCCCTTTTTAGCATCATGGACTCCCCTATTATTAATTACCCGCCCAGATGCTAAACCGTCAATATAAAGTACATGATCTCGATTTCCAAATAATTATTTTGATCATACCAAAGAATAGTTAATAGTACAAATAATCATTCCGAGAGCACAAAGTACGAGAATAATAGAAATTAGTACTTTAGAAGTGATACGTTCATAAACAGACAGACATGTATTTAATTACTTATTTTTTGTCCCTCTCAACAATTTTTGTTACAAAATTATACAATGTACAGACCTGCAATTTACATTTTTATTATATAGATGTTCGGCCTAGATCGCTCCGAATGGGCTTGCCTAACCCACTCTGGATGTGCGTTGGTGGACTGGGGCGGGAGAAGCGTTCTCTCTTCCCCTTCCTGTCACAGACGAAGTGGAGTCTTGGGGAAAGAGTAGTGTTAGTATGGCGATGCGCCACTCGCTCTATCCACCGCGACTCTGGCGGAGCCGCACCTTTGAAGCGGTGGTGGTGGAGCTGCGGCGGGAGAAGAATGTCAGTATTGCCACCACTCTGCCTACTCTCAGTGCCTGATTTAGAGTTCCGACAGCCCTAGGCTAACTATGAATATGAATCCCCCCCCCCCACCGGTTTCAGTCTGTGCCTGCTCAGCCCACGAATATATTTATTACATTTTAATTTTTTCTTGCTTTCCACCCCGTGGTTTCGCCCACATTAAATCCAATTTTCTTAATAGTAAGTGTCAACCATCGCCCATGAATACCTGCAACACCAGGGAAATTTTAAGCATATTGCTGGCTTTTTAAAAATCGTAAGGTCGTTTCTTGAAGATTTCTAAGTCATATTGGTCCGATGGTACTGTGAGTTTCGCCCCAATGTACGTTCAACCATTTGGCAGCTGCCCAAGCAGCATGCAAGCTGTACACGAGCTGTATTGGAGTTCCTTTTTATACTACAGGCTGCATTTACTGGCTGTACAAAGGCTTTATAAGCGCTTATACATCTCTTATAAGTAAAAAATTGACACAAATCATACAGCTTTATGCGTTAGTGGCACTGTACAGTAGCTGTACAAGCACAAAAGGGGCTGTATAATAGCTGTTATTTGGTGTACAAGGAAACTATTAGACTACAAATACTATCTTATAAATATCTTTTACAGATAAACGCTCTAAATTGGTGTTTGAACGGTATCACAAATGAAATTATGACAAAAATAACTTAATAGGTTTACTTTATTGAATGATGGCGACATTTATAGTGAGTAAAAGATTATATTACATATTAATATTAGTTGGATTGGAGTTGAGTTTTGACGGCGATAACTGGTGAATAGAAAGTGCAAAATTAGAATTACGGTAAACTTGTATATGATTTCTATCAAAAAATTGCCGCGCCAGTAAAATAACGAAATAATATAAGGACAAAATACTAAATATGGTAAGTAAATATTGATTTTATAGGTTAGAATAAGAAAATAATTAAATTAGTGAATATGAATGCATATCAAACTAAAAATAATGGTTTAGGCTAAAACTAATATCTCATATTCCTAAATTTACAATTTAAATTTTGTTTTATAGGTCCTAAAATGGCGACAATTTTCTAAACAGCCTAAAGGATATTTCGAGGGTCTTATAGTCTTAGTAGCTGTACTATGTATGTTATGGATTCTATTATACAGCCATTAGTTGTTAATCAGCTGTATAATAGTATATTTTGTAAACTAACGCTGTATAGTAGTTTTTAAAACATCACAGATAATTGTCTTTAGAGATATGTATAAAATATGAAAAACCTTTGTCTTAGAAACAACACTTCTATCCCTTCTTCACTTTATCTCATTTAAATAATAATATTTTAAGATTTAATCGTGTTTAAGTAATTTTGTTGTTTTATTTTATGGACAATGACAAAAAAGTGCTTACTTCTTTTACTTATTTTAAGACAGAGATTATATAAAGCCACACAGACAAAGTTAATAAATTGAAAAAATATTTTTTTTATTTTTGTACCAACCTAAAACCATCGATTTAATCGAAATGATTGTATTTATTGGCAATAAATTATTACCCCTTTGATTCAGTTAAATTCACAAACCAAACCAAAAATATGACTACCTTTAGCAAATGAAGGGTATAGGGAAAGAAAGATCATTGTCCATTTTTTCCGTAAATGAGTTAACAACGCCATCTAGGACAAAATGCATAAAGCTATTTGGTTATGAAACCGAAAACCGCTAAAACTAATCATTGTACGCATGCGACTCAAAAAACGTCAGTATGGCTGTATGCATAAAAGATCATAGCTACTCTTGTATTTAAAAAGATCATTGTCTATGGACTATGTCCTTTTTACCACGTTTTGTACCCAATGTGCAAACCAATTGTCCTTTTATTTATTTAATATACATAAACTGTCAACTTGTTCATCATATTTTTATGTCTATGATGAAACAAGAGGTAAAAAGGCTCTGATGATGTGGTTTCTCTGCTAGATAACTTTATTACACATTTTGTT